TATAAAATGGGGATAATAACCATTCCTCCTAAGGTGGTTATTCATAGGCTTGGAATGGGGATTATTCCAATATGGGTGAGGCATTAAGAACATTGCCTATGTGAAGTTTTTAAAATAATGGGAAGTGTGCTCTGGACTCGTCACTGGCTGTTTCTGTGTTCGGTAACCTCTCGGACTTTACTAGCTGACCTGGAATTGAAGCATGTGGTGAAAGCTCACTTTGTGGTTGTATTTCCCTAAATAGTATATCACTCATTTCAAATTGCCTGCCACAGGAGGACATTGAGAGATTTTGAACCCTCCTGATGGGCTTGGTTTTATCTAGTTCAAGGGCTTTCAAAAAAAAATCTTTTTAAACAGTTGAATCCTTTTGTCCAAACTCTTTTGTCAAACCCTTATGTTTATAACTGACAAAACTGTGCTGCTCTGGTTGAAATAATTGTCGAGGGGACTCAGTACCCACTCACCTTCCTCTTTCCTAAGGTACCACTTCAGAACCTGGAAACACAATTTGGACACCACTGGTCTCGTCAGTTCAGGGAGATGGAAGTGACTTATCCAAGGTCACCCAGTGAACCAACGGCAGATTTGGGACTAGAACATGGGTGTCCTGGTTGCATAGCAACCCCCTTTCCAGTGTTCTCAGATTTGGTTGCTCATTAGAATCCTGGGGGGGGGGGAAGGGCGGAGTTTTAAAAAGTATCAGGGCTGGGGCTGCACCTTCAGAGATACTGACTTAATTGGCCTGGGCTTGGCCCCCACATCAAGCAGAACTAGATAATTCAGTAAGAAGCAAACTTCGTTGACGAAAAATTACGTTTTACAAGTTTTTCAGAGTTGCCTTTTAAAACTATAGTAGGATTCCATTGCCGAGTAGCTTGTTTTTTCATGAGGTTTGATCTTCTTTGATTCAAATCATAGCTCTAGAAACATGAGTGTTTGGTGGAACAGAACCTGTGCCCGGGCATTGAAACAATTGCCCCTCTCCCACCCCTGCCCTGCCATCACAGCAGCTTCCTCAAAGACGTTTGCTGGGTTTTAATTTGAATTGGATGCAGGAGGACTGCGTGTGCGGATTTTACTCCAGTGGCCTTGGGATAAGCAAGAATCCCCTTCCTTTTGCAACTTTTCCCTAATCGTGAGGATATTATATGGCAAGATGTACTTTACCAGTGCAGCATGACGAGAGCTAGCTAGTGGTGGGTTTAATAACTACTCCTACTGCAAGTAGTGATGAGCATCAACAGTAAATCAAGATGTATGGAATGACGACACCTTATTTCTGTTGGTGACCAAATCACAGATACTGCTAACACCACTGTGCTCTGTTGCCTTACAGCCATAACAGGAGGAGATGCTAAATTTCAGAGGTTTGTGAAAATAAAGATAGATTTATGACTCACTGAATTCTATCCAAGGATGCCTTAAATTGCGAACTTTTTCCTGGGGAGGGTGGTGTTCAGTTTTATTCTGTCTACTTATACCTACTTCTAATTTTTTTCAGTGCTTGTGTACTTATCTGGCACTGGTCTTTCTTGCCACGCATGCCAGAAGCCCCAGAATACTATATAAACATGCACATCCTTTCTTTTCCATGTCCCCAGCTCTTGTGACCGAATCTAACAACAGTGGCTTATCAAAATGTCATGAAGCCCCTAGGACACGATGCCCAGAGGTAGGCTGTTCAGGGCCTGTGCTGCATACCAAGCCAGACATCAAGGGCTTTGGCACTTTCTGACATCCTGGCTCACCGCAATGAGCTTCAGCTTTTACTCTTTTTTGCAAGAGGGTTACTCTATCTGCAGGTGTTGCTTCTGTGACCGAGGCAGGAAGAAAGAGGGACGGATGAAATTCAAATGACTGGGCTGGTTGAATTGTCCTTTTTGTCAGGAAAACAATAGGTTCCCTCCAGGATACTGCCACTTCAGCTCACTGGCCAGTACAGGGTCATATGACCACATGTAGCTAGCTGCAAGGGAGTCTGTGAAGATGTGTTTTTCTTCAGGGATTCATTGCTGCCCCAAACAGAATCAGTAGAGAGGAGGAAGGGAGGCTACTCAGAGCATCTATCTGAGTTGGCCGCATCACCTAAACCTCCTGGTGCTTTCCTCTCCTGGGCTTCCATGTCAACTCTTAACCCAGCCAAATTCTACTTGTTTCTTCAAGGCCCATTTTCTTCCCTCACATCCCCAGGCCGCACTGATCTATACTTCTTAAGTATAGAACTTTCAGAGTTAGCAGAAGCATCAGAGTCTTTTAGGATAGCCCCTCATTTTGTTGAATCACTGAAGCCCAGAAAATGACTCACCCAAGATCATGCTGTAATGGTAATGGTGGCAGCTACACGTGAGTGCACACTCCAGGCATATTACTTAACTAGTCACTTGGCGTAAATTACCACTTAATTGTCCCAAGTAATCCCTTCCCTGTAAGGTAGCCACCACCTGCTAATTTTACTTATTAGGACAGCATGGCACAGAGGTGGTAAGTGACAGGGACATCCAGCTCTAGAGTGACCCAGCCAGGGTCTAACACCTGTACTGCTCCCCAACCTTGCTCTACCTCCCACTCAAGATGCCATTAGAACCCAGTCTTCTAAGCCTCAGCTCATTGTCCTCGCCACTTAACTTTCCCCTGAGAGACAGGGCGTATTCTTCTGTTTTATGGTTCTTTGAGTTCATAAGTGTTTCCTACTGCTTGAATTAGGTTGAATGTCTTTTTAGGGTGGTAGTTACTCCCTAACTGGCACGCTCACTTTCATTCTTTCTTCTATCCTAATCCTCACAGTGTAGTTTGAGTGATCCTTTAAAAACATGAATCCGTTTTGTCATTCCTGCCTCCATCAATGGCTTTTTGTGACTTCTAGGCTAAAGCCAAGTTTCTTCGTGTGTCCTGGTAAGACTGAGTGGTCTAGCTGCGGCCTCCCTCTCTAGCCTGACCTCACCCGCTCCTTTCCTGCCTCACTTCCCTATTTACCAAATGGCCATGGGTCAGTCTCCTCTTACTCAGCAGGCACCTTCCTACCACAGGGACTTTGCACCTGCTCTCTTGCTGCTGCCTGGCCTTCTCTCCCCTCCCTTCCTCTCTCCTCCTTAGCTTCTGAACTTCCAAGCAGCCCTCAGCCTGGTCTTATGTCCTCAGGAAGCCTCCTCCAGTGTGACCCTCTACAGGTTGGCTTCCCAGCACCAAGAACCTTTTCTTATAGCCCTCACCAGAATTATGATCTTATGTTTATTTCTGTGATTATTTGATCAGTGCCTCTCTTCCCCACTGGATTAAGATCAGACCATGTCTGATGATCTCTTGCATCCAGTCTTTTATCTCCAATGCCTACTTTCATGCCTGTCACATAGAGTGCTCAGTACTTATTTGTTGACTTCAAAAAAACGATTTTATCTCTTAGCACCTAGCACAGAATTGAGTGAAAACAAAGTTTTAAACGGCACGAGTAGTGGCATCTGTCACCATAACTATACAGTGTGTTGCAGCATCATTCTAAGACCAAAAATTGTTGTTGCTAGGGGCCAGAGGAGAGATGTTGTTTAAGGGTACAAACTTGCAACAAGTAGTAAATACAGTAAAACTTTGGATTGCGAGTAATTTGGTTTGCAAGTGTTCCACAAGACGAGCAAACATTTCTAATACATTTTAACGTGGTAAATGAGCGATGTCTTGCAATACGAGTAGTTTGTTTCCAGAATGAATTATGCTTGCAAACCAAGGTATTACTATAAGTCCTAAAGCTATAATGAATAGTAGTATATAAATATAGACAATAATATCATGCTATAATAATCAAACTTGCTAAGAGATTAGATCTTAATTATTCTAACCACAGAAAAAAAGAAATAATTATGTGACGTGATAGAGGTGCTAACTATTGCTATAATGGCAATCCTATTACAATATATAAATGTATCAAATCAACATATTGTCCACCTTAAATTTACACAATGTTGTATGTCAAATATATTTCAATTGAAAAAATAAGGTGGACCGAAAGAACTTTATTTAATGGCTTTGGCTAAAAAAACGATTCAGTATTTATTGTTGTGGGATAGATAACCCTAGCAGTCAGAAGTGAATGTGACATGCACTTTACCTGTTTGAAAATAATCTCTATATTTAATATCGTACTCCTCCAGATATATCATAATTGAGCTCTTTTTTTCCTCCATGGCTAAGATCTCAGGCATGTGTGATTCAAATATGGTTTTTAAAACTGTTCATTTTGAAATCATCTAGAAATTGACTGGCAGGTACTAAATACATGGAAGATGAGGGACCATGGCTGCATGGGTAGCTTTAGGGTTGGATGAGGAAAAAAGATGCTGAGTGACAGCTGGAAAACTGTGGGGCATAGGAAGTAGGAAACAGGAAAAGCAGATTTGAACTGGCTGCATTTTGTAAAGCCTGGACTAGACTGGGTGTCTAATGGGAAAACATGTTCTGAAAATTCAGGATATAGACCAAAGAAGATGGAGCAGTTATCTGAGCGTATAAGAGCCCTAAAAGGGGTAAAATGGGTCCACTTATTTCCTCTTGAAGAACCTGCAAAAAGTGCCTGATTTTCTCCAAAGATTCCAGGCCAGACCTGCTCTGGGACTGGAAAGGCAAGAGGTAAGTTAGATGTTAGAGCTGGACTTCTAAACACACATCTGTTTGTATGGAGTTTCACTTCAAACATCTACACATCAAATTAAAGTATATCTTGCTCCCAGATAGTAACTGAGCAGTGGGAAAATGGATCACCACCACCCCAAACCACCCCCACCCTCCAGGTGGAGAGGCAGAAACTTGATCTCGCCACCGGTAGTATTGGCAGTGACAAATCTGGGGACCCTTCCCTGAGTATCTTTGCCATCTTTTGACCCCACTGTTTGCAGACTAAGTACAGCCAGGTGGATGCGCTGGCGTCCTTGGGCCGCGCCATGTCAGTGTAACCCCGGGGGCAGCGGCCACTGTGGTTCTCACTCCTCCCTGTCACTCTCTCCTACCAGGAATCAGAAGGTGTTTCCTGCCACTACTGGTCGCTGTTTGACGGTCACGCGGGGTCCGGCGCCGCGGTGGTGGCGTCTCGCCTGTTGCAGCACCACGTCACGGGTCAGCTTCAGGACATCGTGGACATCCTGAAGAACTCGGCCGTCCTCCCACCCACCTGCCTGGGCGAGGAGCCCGAGAACATGCCCGCCAACAGCCGGACTCTGACCCGGGCCGCCTCGCTCCGCGGAGGGGTGGGGGCGCCGGGCTCCCCCAGCACCCCACCCACGCGCTTCTTCACAGAGAAGAAGATCCCACACGAGTGTCTGGTCATCGGGGCTCTTGAGAGTGCCTTCAAGGACATGGTGGGTATGGCTGAAGATTCCAGGACAGCAAGGGCAGGAAAGTTACTTAAGCCAAATCCTTGCTTCTTGAGGGTTCCCTGAAAGGGCATGTGTTTGACCTGTACACTTGTTGGGTGGTTCCACTGGGACATCGCCCTTTTACAATAGGGCTTCAATTCTCAGTAAAAATTGGCAGCAAGATAAGAGTTCCTGGCATTGAGTGCTGGCCAAACTTTAAAAAATGAAAGAGAGGGATGGATGGTGCATGAGGTAATAGGCTTATTAAATAAATGTATGCATTATTGCTTCTCTTTCTGCAGGCTCATTGATGCCAGCTGGTACAATTCTCCTTAATTGAAATGAGCCTGGGTGCCATCTGTTATATACATGTGTATGGATTCCAGGTGTTTCGGGAAATAGAACTTATAGTAAAGGGCTCAAAATTAGCCCCCTTTTCACACATCTGATCTGAGAACAGCTATTTTACCGTGATTGGCAGTGTGAGTCTTACTGCTTTTAAAAAAGTACAGGCTGATATTCAAGAATCATTTGTTGTACTTGGGACCATGGAGTTGTTTGTACATGTAAATCTGAATGTGCCTGATGAAGAAATTCAGGCTCCTTTCCTCTAAGCCTCACTCCTGAGAACACACCCCGGGGGAGTGAGTGCAGCTTCTCTCCATGTCCCTTGCTGTCCCTCTGCCTGTGACAGTGCACAGTGCTCTGTTCTGTACCACCCCCTCCTTTCTTTGAGATCACTTTCTACTGAGGCAATGACTTGGGTTCCAAAGATTTTCCTCTCCTGAGGAAGCAGCAACCTGCATTCAGATAAAGAGTAAGAGATACGTAAAGATGTTATAGGGACTTGAGTAAGGTGAGTGGGCAGTAGTTTCTGGTAGCTTCCAATCTCAAGGAAAACACCAAGAGGCTGAAAAGTTTATTTAGGAAAAAAAAAAAGGAATCAAGGAAGTAAAATTGACTCTTACTCCGGCTTTATATCATGTCAAATCTCACTTTCCAGCTATCACAGAAACACTGGTATAAGTTTTCTAGACACTGATGTTCAGAATGCTAAATATTTCATTGAGGTACAAATTTGAAAGTGGGATCCCCTGAGTGGAAGGAAAATGAAAAACAAGAAACCTTGGGTTTTTAATTTCCTTCAGTAATTGCTAGTGTCTTAAGGGACAAATTTTACTTGGAACCTCTGTATTCTCAATTTTATCCACTAGAGGCCAATGTCACATTGAGTCAGGCCTCCACAAGGCTCTCAGGTTGTTGTTGCCCATTCATGGCTCAGGGTTACTAGCAACAACTATAATATATTTGAAATGAGAGGCTCATTCAGGAAAAAAAAATAGTAAAGAGCCTCATTCTTGTCTTTTATATTTATTTAGCTTTTAACTAATCAGGTCTTTACCTGAAAATTTTTTTGGAAACTTTATAGTTGCCAGTGAAAAGATTGTTTCACTTCTTGTGTGATTCACTCAGTCAGTGAGTATTTGTTGAGAACTAACTATATGCCAGGCCTAATTGTGGAAGAACACTGAACAAAGTAGGCAAAGCCAGTATTAAACAAGTCAGATATAAATGGAAAGGGCCTTCAGAGGAGAAATGCAGGGTGAAGTAGGAGCCTGAGAGAGAAGTGAAGTGAAGGGTTCCCTGGAGAAGTGATGCTCAGGGTGTGGGGGGTCGGAGTAAAGCAGACAAAACCCAGGAGGCTGGGAGAACGGTCTGGGCAGAGGAAACTGTTAGCCTGGAGGACCACATCAGAGAGAGAGAGAACCCAGATGGGCCATAGGCAACCAGCTGACATCTACTACCGTGGTTAGAAGGTAGATTTCAAAGATAAGAATGATATAAGGTGAGCTGGAGAGGCAGTCTGGAACGCACCTTTGAAGGACACTGCTGTACCATATTATGAATTTTTGGTTTTAAGTTTCTTCTTCTCTAATTCATCCCACCCTATGGCTTTCTCTTTACTCTTCAGTTTTCCCCACATTGTCTCTCCAGCCCCCCGTGTGCAGAGGTCCACCTGGACTTTTGCCTGTGTGCTTGTCCTAAAGTGAGATACTCATCATTCTTTGGTTCTCGTAGTGCTTGGTGAGGTGACCCTACCTCCTGCCTTGCTAGTGATTGAGACAGTTGATGTTTGTTGGCCCTGAATCATCATTGATACTGTCCCCTTTTATTCTCAAAAGTGTCCCTGTTTAGGGGCCTGTTGAGTGGGCTCAGTTGGTTAAGAGCTTGCTCAAGAGTGCAAGCTCTGAGCATCAGGGTCACCAGTTCGATTCCTGGCCTGAGCTGAGCTGCTGCTAAGCTGCCAACAGGTGGCAGGATGGCTCAGCTTAAAAAAAAAAAAAAGTGTCCCTGTTTGGATGGTGTCTTATGTTTACCCTAATTACAAATAGATGCTCTTGTTTTCCCTTTGCTTCATCAGGGACTTCAGGAAAAGTCTACTCCAGTGTCATAGAAACGGTGGCAGCCTTCACCATTAAGTTGGTTGGGGTGAGCTTCTGAAGCCACGACACAGAAATCTGGTGTACTCTCGACTTAATGCCCTGTAAGGCCATTGCCAACTCATATAAAATACTTTTTTTTCCCTGTCCCTCTTAATATTAGGTTTTCGAGAGTCACGGTTTCAAGGTAAAACATTTTTTATTTTTTAAATTGGAGAACAGTGTGTTTTTCCAGGACCTATCAGCTGCAAGTCAATAGTTGTTTTAATCTAGTTGTGGAGGGCGCAACTCAGTGGCCCATGTGGAGATCAAACCGGCAACCTTGGTGTTGTGAGCACTGCGCTCTAACCAGCTGAGCTAACCGGCCGCCCCAAAGCTTTGTGTTTTTTTGAAGTGCCGGCTTACGACTGATGTCCTTATCACCCGACCTTGGTGGAGCCTCTTCAGCCTTTTTAGATAGGGTGAGGTTTGGAATTTCCTTGACATTCCTAATTTTTTTCTTCACTAGCCCACCACTTTCTAGCTTTCCTATTTCTAGGTGCTCCTTAGGCCTTGCAGCTTTTGTGCCATTCTGGTGCTGTAAGAGGAAAACTCAGTGTTAACTAAGATTAGGTCGTGTCAGCTTTGTGACTCTCGCTTTCTCCCTCACTTTTAATTCCCTGACATTTCCCAAGCCCAGCACCTAAGCCGCAAATTTGCCTCGCTGATGACATCTCTGCAGCTACCCTTCCTCAGATTCAGAAAGTGACTTATAATATCTTTCAAGGCAAAGTTTGCCTTTCACTTGGGGGTTGCTTTATTTATGGCATTTCAGCAACATAGAATCAGAGGTCTTTGGTTTCTCTCTCTCTGTATCTCTTCCTGCAATGCCTTCTCAACCACAAGTATACCTTGAGCTAATATTTTTTTATAAGCAGCGTTCTTCTAGACACCATGGAGGTCTAGAAGTAAAAGATTAGATTTTATACCTAAGGGCATTTGTAGTCACACATTATATGACTATAGAGATGTACAGTATCCTTTATTTAATGATATTCTAAATGACATTAACTGGGGTGGTAGAATGTTGATATCTATCTGAAAGGGGTCATCAGTTAGAAGATTCAGAAACACCAAGCCAGAATAATGCGTACTTATTTCCAGGAAAATGTAGGTACTAGTCAGAAAAAGAGACTAATAGAAGTGGGGGGAAAATGCTTTGAGTAAGGGGAGATGATAACAGTTTCATCAAATGCTGTAAGCTTCTTTGAGGGCACTGCTTCTCCTCTCCTCTTTGGTCCTCGGGTTGCCCAGCACAGTATGTGGCCTGCACTGAGGTGACCTCTGACCGCTGGCCTCCCACCCTTACTGTGCCTGCCGGCAGAGGCAGGTTTGCCCTGTGACCCCCTCACTGTAGCTCGTCTTAGATCTTCTTCACAGTGAGAAAGCTGCCTAGCCAACTCCTCCTGTGTGCACCGTGGAAGGTGAACCATGGCTTCCTAAAGAACCAGGATTTCAGAACTTGGCGACTTACTTCAGTTCTGTTTCCTAGCCTATTGTATGTATAGGTTGTTGTTTGGCCCAAGATGATAGATATGAATAAGATAAATGACTTCTAAGTCCTGATGTGTGTTTCCTCCCTACTTCCCCACCCTACAAAACCAGGATTGAATAGTCAGCACATCAGACTCTTGAAGTCCATTGTTGGTATAGTTGCAGGAGACCTTTGCCCTCCCAGGAACCACAATCAAGTCAGCAGTGATTAACCTTTCAGCCCTCCACCTACAGGATTTGAGTTCTGGACACAGGCAGGAGAATCTCAAAATTCTGTCCTATTTCCTTTTCAGTGTGGGTAGATTCCTCACCGCAGTGAAGAATGTTCTAGAAACTTGGTTGTCCCAATAGAGCAAAAGGGCAATATTTTAACTTGTAAAGCTACCATACATCTTCCTGTTATTGAGTAAATGGTTGGAAATTCTCAGCTTGGCTTTGTTGGTAAAAACTATATGGTGACACTGGCGAAGAAGAGGAGGATGAATGCAAAGCTTATTTATAGTTTAGAAATTCTGGTGTTTTCAAAAATGAGCATATTCATAGTAAGTTGTGGATCTTTGTGTCTATTTAAGCTAGAGTTTTGTTTTGTCTTTGTTTCTGGTTTATCAGGAAGTTCCTAGAAGGAATGAGCTAGTCAAACCACGAACAGCCAGCAGGTGGCAGTATTAGGCAGTACTCGTTTTCTTTCCTTCCGCATTGCCTGGCTGACAGATTGGCTTGTTCTCAGAATAAACCGAAATCAGACCCAGATACTAAAACCATGCAGAATCTTATTATTTGTGACTGACACTATTAGCAATGTGTTCAGAACCATGTTTTAACCCAGCTAGGGGCAGCTGCCAAGTCCCATTGAAACTACCCGACACTCGCTCCGTTCTGTTGTCTGATACAGCTCTCCTTCTGAACCTGAAATGGGTGGGAAACAAATAAGGACCCTGGGGTTGCATCATCTCTGGGACTTTTCAAACCAAATTACAATCATCCCAAGCAATGTATTTTTTTTTTTTTGTCTTGCAGTTCTTTCCTGCTGAATTAGTCTCATTTGATATACATCTCTTTTTTCTCCTTCATTGCTCCCACTCTTCCTTGGAACAAAAAGCAAAAATAAAGCCTCAAGTCTTAAAAATTGAATCGATCCTTTGATTTAGAGATAAACCTAGCTTAAATGTAATATTTAGGCAGCTATAACACAGGGTAAATCAGTCCTGCTAAGTAGAAAGTAGCCTTGAGATATCTGGAGGACTCTTGATTGAGCAGATAAATGAATTATCTCATTAATTAAATCTTATGAATCATTTAAGTTGATCCTTTTAGACCAACTTGAAAAGGAATGATAGTATGTGTATGTTTTTTGCTAGTTTTTATAAACGTATTATGTCATGGGGTTCACTGATTTCCTCATTTTAGAAAAAAATAGTTTAGCTAAATCATTTTTAGCTAAAATGAGGAAGTATTCCAAATCGGTCTTTGTTTAGCATAGAGCAGTGGACAGTTTTTCCTATGATTTCATTGATTTTTTTGAAAAAAATACCCAAAGTTGAGGGTTTAAAAAAAAATAATTATACAGGTTTTTGAATTTTTTACCTAGAATGTGAGAGGCTTAAGCTAATTGGAAAAGTTGTGAGTTTGAAGAAAATAGATAGTTAATTCAATGGTAAATATATCTTTATTGACTTCATTTATCATGTTTGACCTGATAGTAAAAGGACCATCCAGATGGTCTTTTAATGTTCCTTTCAGCACCACGATTTTGGGAAACATCTTTTAAAGAGGAGTAGGTAGCGTAGGAAAAAATAAATGTGCTATTTTGGCTTCTAGTGAGGGGAGGGGGAAGCATTTATTTTTAGAATATGTTCTAGTTATGCCCAGTTTTAGAAGAAAAAGAAGAGTGAATTTTAATGTCAGTGAACCCTTTAGGGTGACAAAGTCTTTCTCATCTTTCAAATCCTTGTCGCTGTGATTCCAGAGAGCACACATGTAGTTAAAGTGTGTTCAAGTGTTACGCATGTGCCCACACACACGTATATTAACACACAAATGGAGGTGGCGAAAGCATGACCATATTAGCAAAGTTTTCTGGATAAAGCACAGCTAGACTTTAGTCCACTATTTATGTGACAGTGCTGCCAAATTTAGCATTCCTTATGCTGGGGGAGCTAGAGCTGTCCGTAGTTGAAACACAGGAAAAGATGAAAGAAATGAGGGCCCACTGAGTGGCTCAGTTAGTTAAGAGCTCGCTCAAGAGTGCGAGCTCTGAGCAACAGGGTCGCCGGTTCGATTCCCGGCCCGAGCTGAGCTGCCACAGGATGGCTCAGCTAAAAAAAGAAAAAAACAAAAGATGAAAGAAACAATGAAATCAATTAGAAAAAAATATACTGAATCACTATTAATGTAATAGCAAAGGATTAACTGGGTAGGCTAACTGGAATGTTTCCCAAAAAATTAAAGGTGAACATGAACTCTGTGGTAAGCAAAAAGCCTTAGTGTTGAGCACTCTGCCTTGATATATATTTTTTTAAGGATTAAATAATTTTATAATTGGATTTTCTTGTGATATAAACCATGATAAATAATACCCTGACGATGCAGAATAAACTCGTTTGTCTGGGGGGGATTCTTTGCTTAGACGGCTCTTTCACATACCACAGCATTTCCCCCGCTTTTAGATGGTACCAGTGTGTATGTCAGTCATTCATACTCTAGTCCACGTACAGCATGCAAGCAATTGGGTGCTCAGGGATTCTTAATAAAAATTGCCGTTAATTCAGACTTTAGGTATTCAAACAAATATTGATTCTGGATGTGAAATGATAGTTTCTGTAGCTAGAGAAGTTCCTTCCAATATATTAAAAACTGTAATATTGGGTTGGACTTTATAGACCAGTTTATATGTTAATTTGATGAAATATGTATTATAATATCAACTCTATTATTTATTTAAATGCAAAAAAAAATGAATCAACCCACCCACAAACTCCTTTGTGATTAGGATTGCTGGTTCTGTTTTATGCACTGTTTGGAGGTTAAACAGACAAAACTTCTGACGGCTTGATGCTTTCTCCTCTCTTCACTTCTTTGTGACAACCCTTCCCGGCTGACATCAGGCACCTCCTTTTCTTTATTCCCTAGCCTGCTGTCATCCTTGTGTAGGTTCTGAGAGCCATTCATTCATTCTTGTCATGTGACTGCATTTTAACTGAAGAATCGGTTCCTGCTTACGTATCATCTCAGTGAGCATTTATTTGCATTGTAAGCTTTTCATTTCTGAATTGTGAAGCATATTTCTCATGTTATGGCAGAGGTACGGTGATTATTTTGAAACGTAAACATTTTTTAAAAATTAAATTTATTGGGGTGACATTGGTTAATAAACTTTTGTAGGTTTCAAGTGTACAATTCTACAATACATCATCTACATATTGCATTGTGAGTTCCCCACCCAAAGTCAAATCTCCTTCCATCACCAAAAACCTAAGCATTTTTAAGTATATGTCTTCATATGCCCATTTAACAAGACATTTATTAAACTATCTTTTACTTGGCCTGGTATAGGTCGTTGAGGGTCCAGCAACGAGCAAGAGAGGTGTCTGCTCTCAATCACGGAGCTTTCAGGCTGTGGGAAGGATCTAGATAGCATGCTAAACTCCTCACACACACCATCTAATTTAATCCTCATGGCAGTCCTTTAGGAAAGCTAATTTATACAGAGTTTAAGTCAATTTTTAAAATTCAATATAGTCCTTGAATGCTATCGTCCACTCACTCCCTTACTGGAATTTTTCTTCACTTACGACTTAACTACCACCTCCATGAGACACACATTCTTACCCCCTCCGCATGGCTCCTTAGCCCTCCCGCCCCCTTCCCCTCTCCCCAGTTCATTCCCAGTGTGTTGCTTTCCCCCAGCTCCTGTCTTTGTACTTTGTCTCTACTTACTTTGTAACCAATACGCTGTTTCTAATTTGTAGCCTCAGCTCAGGCTCTTCTCCTGTTTCCAGTTTCCCATCGGTGATTTATCTAACTTTGTATTACCACCCTGGCCCCTGGAATAAAGCAGTTGCTCATAAATGCTGGATTACTGAATTCTCTCCCCCTTTCCCATGAGGCGACTAGCTGAAGCCACTGAACTCTAATTCTGTGGGTTTCTAAGTATCGCACAAGTGCCCTGGCCCTCGGTCTGCCCACAGCACCCTCAGAATCATCCAGGGCACCATTTCTTCCTCTTGTGTGCTTATTACCCAACCCACATTCTCCCTCCTTCTGCTCTAACACTAGGTTACTACTGGAATGTTTGGCATTTCTTTTCTTTTCTTTTTTTTTTTTTAGCTAGCATTCAGTTTATTTTCCTAACTCAGCTTGCGTTTTCCTGAGGTGAAGAACCCTTGCTTCTGTCACTGACACAGAATTTCACAAAGACGTCTGTCTTGAGGATGATGCATATCTGTCAGTACAAGTGTTGGTCTATTTTTAATTTTCTTGGGGAGCCCTCATTAGGTGGCAAGTAATATAATAACCTGGGCTTTGGGGAAGAGAACTGAACTGGAATCCAAACTCCAGCCAGGTCAACATGGGCAGGTTTTCCCACTTCTCTGCATCTGAACAGTGAGGTTAGTAATGTGGTTGTGAGGACGAGATGAGCTACGTGCAAAGAGCTTAGCGCCCTGCCTGACAGAGGACGTGCTCGGTGGAAGTTGGCCGTGCTATGCCTGTGTGTCACTGTTGTGAATTAGTGGGAAGAGAAGTCACAGCAGAGTTCAGGAGCTTCTATCTTTGATCAGTAAGATGGGATTGACTCCTGCCTGCACTGAATAGAGGACACTGTCCTTCAAATCACCTTCCCTCTAACTGTAAAAGAAGCTATTTATTGGAGACGCTGGGGTTAAAAACATTGCTCAGTTCCAGGTACTCGGTGTTATCAGCCTCTCTATTGCATTTTCCACATAGCAGCTCAGGCAGTCCATACAGAGACTACATTTTCCATAAGCTGTGATATTTATTGAATACAATTGGTTTTATTCTTCTCCTTTTTGCCTGATTGTATCTGCTTGCTGTCTGTGGGCCACAGATGGCCTAGCAGGCAACAGTTTCATGCCATTGTCCTCTCCAGAAATGCTCATGAAGTGGTGGAAAAGCAAGGACTGGAGAGTCTCTGGTCCCTTCTTTGAAGCCCATGCAGAACCTTAGGGCTGTGTCAAGGGAGTGAGGCTGAGGAACCTGTGATTCCAGGAGTTCCTGTACAATCCAGCACTGACTTTGTTTTCTTCTCCAGGACCTACAAATAGAACAAGAGCGGAGTTCATATAATATATCTGGTGGCTGCACAGCCCTCATTGTGATTTGCCTTTTGGGGAAGCTGTATGTGGCAAATGCTGGGGATAGCAGGTAAGCAGATTGGCTTCCTGGTTCCGACTGATTTCTAATGCCTTCCGATCATTTTTATCTTGTTTAAAAATAAAATCAATGATTAGAAATAAAATAATTTGGCTTGGGATTAGATATCGAGAAAGATGAGCCTTCTACATCTGAATAAAAATGCATTTAAGCAGAATCAGCAGGCTAGTATTAAAAGGTAAAGGCAATCTTCTTGTTCACGGTAGCAGATACAGTGTATGTATGTGTGATTAATCAAAACCAGTATCATTCAGATAGTTTTGAACTTCAGAACCTGATTTTTCATGAAAGCTTAGCGGAGGCATCATTTATGAGCGGTGAGGAAGGAGGAAAGGAATTTGAATGAGATGGGTGTTGGGAGGGAACCCGGGAGGACGCCTCAGCTGGTTCCACTTCTGCTCAGTGACTTTGCACTGTCCCCTCCCAGAAGCCCCGGAGTTTCTCTTTTTGTGCACCTGCCCTTCTCTCTCCCAGGTTCACCTGAAAGGAATTTTGGCCAAGAGGTTATGGTTAACCCTTATGCTACCCGGTATCACCAGGAATAAGATAAACTTGTGTTTTAAATTTTATTTTAAATAACTGATGCGTCCTCACTTGAGGTGCGGGAAATTTTTAAAATATAGACTTTGTGAAAAGTGTTTTGATATGCATTGCACACGTCTCTGCCCTTTAGTAGCAAAAGATGTTGGCTTTAAAGCAGGACTTGGGGCTAAAGACGGACTCTTGATTCTCAAAGCATTCAAAGTGTGCTGGACTCTTAACCATGATGTCCTCAGCGGATGAGTGACTTTCCTGTGCAGACTGTGGCCGTGGGATGCTCTCATTCCTCTGTCTTCTTCCTCTGGGGCACATGCCTCTTCCCAGCAGTCATGCTTGCGCTGGCCCTCCTTGAGGTCTGGACCCCATCATATGGCGGCTGCCTCTCTAGCCTGGAAGACCAACTCCCTCAGGCAATCAAGGGACTCACCCTAAATTGTACAGCCCTGTGTTGCTGGACATCCTGAGAGATGTGTCGTCAGGTGGTTTGGTCGTGCAAACATCAGAGTGTACTTACACATGCCTAGATGGCATAGCCGACTACACACCTAGGCTATACCGCATAATCTTATGAACCACCGTCCTATATAAGGTCTGTCACTGTGGTTATACCGCACATGCTTGTACTTTCATTTACAAACAAGAAAGCCTGAGGGAGATTCCATTCTCCTTAGTTTAGCATCCCTTGCCAAACTAAGTAATAGTCTGGTTACTTAAAGATCTTGAAGACTAAAGGAGAGTGAACTGCCAAAGCAGCAAGATTTGGGGTTTGAAGTTTGATGTTTTTGAAGGTCTGTTTATTTTTAAAGTGTATGCGGCTTTCCATTCTACTCTATAAGATATTTCAGTTTCAATATAAAGTTTTGCCATGTAAATGGAAATGTGTATAAGATGCCATGGTTTTCTGATGGCTTCTATTCCCTAGTGTTGTACCAGGGGCCTGACAAGAGACAGCCTCCAATTCGGACAGGTCAGCTAAATGAAGGAGTGAAAGGGAACCAACCAGAGCAGTGAGGCCCAGGACGGTGTTGACTACCCTAAGCCTGCAGGGACCAGGGAGCAAAAGCTGCATCAGAGCCAGGAGGGTGAGGCCACAGGTGAGGGCCTCTGGGCAGGAGCCACAGGAGAGAATGGAAGACATACTCTGACTTCTCTTCGCATTCCCCCTGTCTTTTGCCAGGGCTTCCCATGTGATGAGCCCGTCAGGAAACCAGGTGACAAGTAGCCCAGGGAATGTGGGTCATAGAGGCCAGCTATCCAGGGCACAGACACAGGCCAAGACCTCATCTCCGGAGTGGGGACAAGCAAAGAATAGCCAGCAAGCTGCTGTTCTTCCTTTCCTTCTCAGCCCCAGGGTTTGAACATCTTAAAAATAGGGATTCTCACTCTTCAGGGGGCCTTTTAAGACACACACTGAGGAGGTGGCCTCTGGGCCTCTTGTTCTAGTCTAGATCTTGAGCTTGTCGGGAGACAGATGAGCAGATCAGGAGGTGCTTCCCCTCTGTACTGAGTAAGACCGAGTCGGTGATTCAGCTGCTGCACTCATAGTCACCTTTTGTTTTTACGTCTAGGTCCACGTCCTTTGAAATGAGTTTGCTTTCCTAGCCCGTCCAGTGACTGAGTGCCTTGCTTCCTGGGGACAGGCCCACCCTTCATCTCAGGGAAGCACCTCTCACCAGATGACCCCAGACTCAGAAGAAAACCCAACTTCTGTGCCCGCAATACCTTTACGTTGGGTTATTCTTTTCATAGAAGCAACTCCTCCCCAGTGCCTTTTTCTCACTTGGGAACATAGTTTCCTTTAAAGCTCTGAGCTCCTTAAGGAATCCACCTCTCCAGCCAGGCCTTCTGATCCTATATCCCAGAAGCTCCAGTCCCTTGTCCAGCACCTGCTGGTCCCAACTATTCATCTTCTGCACTCTTGCTTTTTTTTCCTTTTTCAAGTGCCAATTTCTGGATGAGATTTTGATTTCCTCATTTATAAAAATGGTGGTAGGCATTGGACTAAATAATCTCTAAAATTGCTAGCATTCTAACGATTATCCTATGAGGGACACTTAGAAAGTAAAATGATGCTATAAAGTTTGATCTTTTGGTTATTTTATCTTTCTTAGGGTCAGTTTTTGAAATGTTAGCATAATTGAGGTTGCCATGTTTCTTAAGTGTCCATCAAAGTATGAAGTTTTACATGTTATTCCCAATGAATTGAAAAGCCTAACAAGCACTTTTATCCTTATTGAAACTGTAAAGCACCAAAAAAAAAAATTATCCTATGATAAAATAGCATCTCTAAAACCTAATAGGCTTAATTCTGTTTGTACGAATAATATTCTGGCCCCACCATCCAGATATGAATTCGGTGTTTTATGGCTGATTTGGTTGGGTTTGTTGTTCACATTGGTTCATATGCCATATAAGAAACCTTAGAGCAAAATGAGCTGTATTTGTACCATCCAAAGGATAGCTCATAGGAGGACACTTATTCATTAGGGTTATTCATTAGCTATTTTTAGCTGTTGGGTGAAAAATAAACATTTCATATCATCTTATATAGGATCGTTGCCCAGTTTATATTAATAATCTATTACAGGTATTTGAGTTTACGAAAAAATTCAGTTATTCTCAAGAAACATCAATTAAGTGAACTTCGATCGGACCTATGTAAATGTAGGTCCATTATCATGTATGGACACGTGGTCATGAATCGAGGGCTCAATTTAAACAAATGATTAGAGCTGACAGAAGAAGATCCTGGCAACAGTGCCCTGATGAATTAAGTGCTAATTTTCCTTCTTTATTGCCAAGTATTGCTTGCCCTGTGTTTACCTTAAATCTTGACAGTTTTGAGAGTGAAAGCTAATCTTTGTTGTAGGGTTCACTGCCCCATATTTCCTCACACTTGGGAAGAGAGAAGCTTTGCACTGGTTTGGTTTGGACGCCACTGGTGATCAGGAACTATTTTCTAAGCCACTTAGTGAGCTATGAATGATCTGATTTGCCATCAGGTGCATTTGTACTGGGGTTGTATTCAGGAGAAGCCTGATGTTGTTTGTGGCTTCCTGGTGTTGGAGTCAGTGACCACCCTTGGTGTAGGGTTGGCTGCAGTGATGCCAGGTGACTGGTCCACAGCTTGGGATAGACTTGCCCATCTCTCCTCAGCCGAGATAACCAGCCGTGGAGGCACATGTGATAACTATTTAATGCACGCCAATTGCTTTATTTTTCCCAGGCAGAAGCAGCCAACTCAACACCTAGGGGATCATAAGGGACCAGGAAAGAAGCAGATGGTGGGTGGATTTTCACTTCAAGCAAAAAAAAAAAAAAGAACCACACGAACTGGTAGCATGCAAATGTCATGCAAAGCAGTATGCAAACTATCACCCATGATGTTTGAGTCATCCACTCCTTGGGGTTCTGAGTGAGTCTTCATTTGAAGAAGATGCTTTGACTCCATCTTAGAAGATAATTTCATTTTATTTCTAGAGAGCTAAGGCACTGAGGAGGCAAAGTTGTTACCACTTATTTTAAACAGTGTCTAAAGGTTTGGCAACTGAGACTAGGTGAACTCATTCACATTAAAGAAACCATTTAATATTTGTTAAATTCATGATTCTGCTCTTGCCAGATTTATAGTGACAACAGCAATAAGACTGCTAATAAGTGCTATGCACATGTTAAATACTGTAACAGAGAATCATGTTTGATTCTCTCCGCAATGTAGTGAGAAGTAGGCATTGTTAATATCAGGTACATATACTGAGGCCCAATGAGGCGAACGGATTTGCCCAGGGCCCCACAGCTGTGAACAAACAGGGTTGCCATCCAACCCAAGACTGGAAATTGGAGCACCATGTTCTCAGCAACACCCTGTACCCCGGCACTTCCCATCCATGCTAAGAGTCACAGGCGTTTTTGTTTTGTTTTGTTTTTCACTCTTAACATCTCTAAAATCAAGTTGCTAACATTTTTCCTATTTATATGTAAAATAATGGAATACCTTATGATGAATGGCATCTTTGATTTCACCTAAAATGGTCTATGGGGGGTGTAGTGAGTGGATGGCTGCACTAGAAGTTATTGTAAATGCATTGCAGTAGTGAAGGAAATAAACACTGGGTGGTCCAGTGCATTCACTTATGATGTAGGGAATATTTACTCAAAATGAGGGCTGCCACCCCGTTCCACAGGCCCCAAAGTTCTATGAGACCATTTTAAATCTCATGTTTTCATTTTGATGATAATCTGTCGGAATAACATAAGCATTTTCTGTATCCACTGGATGACTGTCTTATAAATGATTACTGCCACAAATTTAGACCCCCTGTTTTGTCATATTCACAATTTCTTTGGCAACAAGTAAGTGTCTTGCAGACTTTGTCAAAATGAGTCACAGGCTCTGGGGAGTACACGGTCATCTTCATGTTCTTGAAGGTCTTCCTAGGAAAAGGGCAAGG